TAGAAGTGGTGAAGGAGACTGACGCTTACTGGAGATGGGGGTGAGGGTGTGGGAAGACAGGGATTTGCTGAAGCTCAGGAGAGCATGCCTAACCCAGGCTTGGGGGTGGGGTTGTCTTCCCAGGGGAAGTGACATTTGGCTGGACCTCAAGGATGAGCAGGAGTTGGTCAGGTAAAAGAAGGATGGAAGGGAGGTTACAGGTAGTGTTTTCACCAGGAGTGGAGAGAAGGTTGAGTGATGATTTGGATGACTGGATTTGGGGCTTGGAGTGGGGAGCAACGAAGGGAATATAGACGATGGTGCAGGGAATATAGGGGGGTAGAAGGCAGGGCAGGAGAGCAGGAGTCAGCTGATGAAGGGCCCTAGAAAATCCCAACTTAGAGTCTATAGTTTTATCTTAAGAGCATGGAAAAGCCATTGAAAGATTTTTTTTTTATTTCAGCATTTTATGGGGGTACAAATTTTAAGGTTTCAATAAATGCCCTTTCCCCCCCTCCCCCCACAAGTCTGAGTCCATTGGAAGATTTTTAAGTAGAGGGATTATGTGATCAGATTTTAGAAAATTCTAGAAAAATTCTAGATATTCTAGAAAAATCACTCTGGCTGCAGTGCAGAGATTATGGAGTTTGAATGGTGTTGCTGCAGTCATCTTGGGATGCATTGGTGGAAGCTTGGATTAGGGCTGTGAGATAGAAACTGAAGTTCAGGAGACAGGATGTGGCCATTGATTGGATATGGCAGGTAAGAGGGAAAAGTCAGTATATAATCATGCATCCCTAATAACAGGGATACGTTCTGAGAAATGCATAGGTTAGGTGATGTGTGAACATCACAGAGCGTACTTACACAAACCTGGATGTAAATACACACCTAGGCTGTGTGATATAGTCTATTACTCCCAGGCTATAATCCTGTCCAGCATGTTACCGTCCTGGACACTGTAGGCAATTGTAACACAGTGGTACATATTTGTGTGTCTAAACTTATCTAAACATAGAAGAGCTACAGTAGAACTATAGTATAAAAGATAAAAAATGTTACACCTACCGTGTTTCCCCGAAAATAAGACCTACCCATAAAATAACCCCTAGCAGGATTTCTAAGCATTTGCACAATATAAGCCCTACCCTGAAAATAAGACCTAGTGATGGGCGTGGCTACGCACAACCCATGCATTTCATCTCGGAGCAGTAAAGAAGAGCAGCCTATCTCATCTGCTCTAGGAGAGCTCTATTGCTCGACATCAGAAATTGGGGCCAATGGGTTCTAAAGGAAATAGAGTCGCAAGAAATTCAGGATGGAATTCGGGTTTTGGAGAGTTATGTTTCAGAAGAAGATGACTTAAGTATATTTGAATAAATGTAGATTGTTGTATCATACTTAAAAAAAAATCCCCTGAAAATAAGCCCTAGGGTGTCTTCTTGAGCAAAAATAAATATAAGACCCTGTCTTATTTTCGGGGAAACACGGTATATAGGGCACTTACCATGAGTGGAGCTTGCAGGTTGGAAGTTGTTCTGGGCAAGTCAGTGAGTGAGTAGGAAGTGAATATGAAAGCCTGGGACCTTATTTACTTTGTAGACTTTATTTATTTATATTATTATTATTTTTGAGACAAGTTCTTGCTGTTTCCCAGTCTAGAGTGCAATGGTACGATCATAGCTCACAGCAACCTCAAACTCCTGGGCCCAGGTGATCCCCCTGCCTCAGCCTCCCAAGTAGCTAGGACTATAGGTGTGTGCCACCAAGTCAGGCTACTGTGGACTTTATAAACACTATATACTCAGGCTACTTTATTTATTTATTTAGAGACAGTCTCACTCTGTTGCCCAGGTTAGAGTGCCGTAGCTTCAGCCTAGCTCACAGCAACCTCAAACTCCTGGGCTCAAGCAATCCTCCTGCCTCAGCCTCCCAAGTAGCTGGTACTACAGGCATGCGCCACCATGGCCTGCTAATTTTTCTATATATTTTTAGTTGTACAGCTAATTTCTTTCTGTTTTCAGTAGAGACAGGGTCTTACTCTTGTTCAGGCTGGTCTCCTGAGCTCAAATAATCCTCCTGCCTTGGCCACCCAGAGTCTAGGATTACAAGTGTGAGCCACCTTGCCTAGCCAAAAAAAACATATTACATTGTCTAATACCTTATTTCTGGTATAAAAGAATGTAATTGATTTAGATATTAATATATTAATATTCCTGAACACTCTTAGAAGTTTTTATAATTTATTTATAGAATTTTTTCAATCTTCTAACATATTTCCTGAGAATAATGACAGTTTTACTATTTTCTACTCTAGTTCTTTTTCACTTGTGCTACCCTGTTGGCTAGGACTTGTGTAACTCTGTGAGGCTAAGTGTTGAAAGTGAGCATTCTTTATTTTATTCTTGACTTCAAAGGCAATAATCCCAGTGTTTCATCAAGTCTGATATTTGTTGTGTAGATTTTAGGAAGATAGCTTTTGTCAGATGGAGTGTTTCCTTTTGTTTCTAGCAGTTTGCTAAATTTTATGGTGAATGGGTCTAGAATATTATCACTCGAATCTTCTGAAGGTATGGTTCTGATAGTGGTTTTTCTGCATGTGTGTGTTGCACGGCCAGATTAACCCTCATCATTGTTGTTATTGGTTTTATATATTTAGTGTTGTTTAGATTTCCTCTTATTTTTATTTATTTATTTATTTTTTTGAGACAAAGTCTCACTCTGTTGCCCAGGCTAGAGTGCCGTGGCGTCAGCCTAGCTCACAGCAACCTCAAACTCCTGGGCTCAAGCAATCCTCCTGCCTCAGCCTCCTGAGTAGCTGGGACTACAGGCATGCGCCACCATGCCCGGCTAATTTTTTATATATATATCAGTTGGCCAATTAATTTCTTTCTATTTATAGTAGAGACGGGGTCTCGCTCTTGCTCAGGCTGGTTTTGAACTCCTGACCTTGAGCAATCCGCCCGCCTCGGCCTCCCAAGAGCTAGGATTACAGGCGTGAGCCACCGCGCCCGGCCTTACTGTTTTTTTCATTGAGGGTCTGTTAATAGTAAATTCTTTCCATCTTTGTTTAAAAATGTCTTTATTTAATCTTCACTCTTGAATGATATTTTGGTTGGGTTTTAAATTTGTAATGATAGTTACGTTCTCTCAGCAGTTTGGCAGTATTACCTTGGATCTTCTAGTATTGCTGTTGAGAAGTTTGCTGTCAATTTAATAGTCCTTTCTTTGTAGGTGCTCTCTCATCTTCCATTCTGCATGCTTTTATTTATTGATTGATTTTTATTTTTTATTTTTAAGATGGAGTCTTGCTCTGTCACCCGGGCTAAGGGTGCCGTGATGTCAGCCTAGCTCATGGCAACCTCAAAGTCCTGGGCTCAAGCGATTCTCCTGCCTCAGTCTCCTGAGTAGCTGGGATTACAGGCATGTGCCACCATGCCTAGCTATTCTTCCTATTTTTAGTAGAGAGGGAGTTTCGCTCTTGCTCAGGCTGGTCTTGAACTCCTGAACTCAAGCAATCCTCCCGCCTTGGCCTCCCAGAGTGATAGGATTATAGGCGTGAGCCACTGCACTCGGCCTCTGCATGCTTTTAAAATCTCTTTGTTTTTGTTATTCTTGTAGTGTCCCCTCTATATGTGTTTATTTTATTTGAATTAATTATAATTAGGATTCAGTATGGTTCCTGAATTGGAGGGTTCTTTCATTAATTCTGGATAATTTCCTGCCATTTTCTCTTCAAATGTTACTCTACTTTATTATCTATATTCTCTTTTTATGAAATTCTAATTGGAAATGTGTTGAACTGCCTTATTCTGTTCTTCTTGGCCTTTATTGTCATTATAAAAATACATCTCTAGGTAATGTCCTCAGGTCTGTCTTCCAGGTTGTTGCTTCTTTATCTAGCTGTATCTAATTTGTTGTGATTCTAAACCATTGAGTTTTCAATTTTAGTGACTAAAAAAATTATTTCTTTTTTTTTTTTTTTTTTTTTTTGTCTCACTTTGTTGTCCAGGCTAGAGTGAGTGCCGGGGCGTCAGCCTAGCTCACAGCAACCTCAAACTCCTGGGCTCAAGCGATCCTCCTGCCTCAGCCTCCTGAGTAGCTGGGACTACAGGCATGCGCCACCATGCCCGGCTAATTTTTTATATATATATCAGTTGGCCAATTAATTTCTTTCTATTTATAGTAGAGACGGGGTCTCGCTCTTGCTCAGGCTGGTTTTGAACTCCTGACCTTGAGCAATCCGCCCGCCTCGGCCTCCCAAGAGCTAGGATTACAGGCGTGAGCCACAGCGCCCGGCCTAAAAAAATTATTTCTAAATGTTTGATTTGGTTCTTTTCCCAGCCTGCATTGTATTTTTGATAATGTCTTGTTCTTTCTCATATTTACCATTCCTTTTTAGGTCAATAATAATTTTAAATATAATCCTATAATAGTTTTTATCTGATAGTTCAATTGTCTGTAGTTATTAGGTATCTAGTCTCATCCAATATTAATCATAGTAGATTGTTTTTTTCTATATGTTGTAATTTTTAAATTTGAGATCCTCTTTAGCAAGGCAGTATTGTTGGGAATTCTCCGTAGTCTGCATTAAGGGTATATCTTTTCAGGAATTTTCAGCCTAGAACCACTTTTTATTTTTATGAACTGGCTGGAAGTTTCTGAGTAATATAAAATTCAAATCTTAAATCCGTTTAAGGGCGATCCCTTAGTTGCACATTCTTGGTAAAGACAATTATTTTTTATATGTAGACCTTAGGCCAAGGTGTACGGTCTTCTTTGTCATATTTTGTCAGTATTCTGCTGTTTCTCTGAGATTTAGGTAAGTTCCAATGTCCTAGCATCTGTCAGTGCTATTTAAACTCAGTTGCTTCATTACTAAGGTCAGCTTCACCCCCTCTCTCCCAGGGATATTATAGTAATAATAATTTGTTTATAATTATAGCTTAGAGTTCTCTCATTTGGGACCCTGGGGTCTTTTTTTTTTTTTTCTTAGTAATTTTTCATTTTTTATTTTTCAGAGACAGGGTCTTGCTCTGTTGTCCCGGCTAAAGTGCAGTGGTACAGTAAAAGTTTACTGCAGCATCAACCTCCTGGGCTCAAGTGATCCTCCTGCCTCAGCCTCCCAAGTAGCTGGGACTACAGGTGTGCACTGTACCACCACACCTAGCTAATTATTATTATTATTTTTTGTAGAGATGGAGTCTTGCTGTGTTGTGTCGAGGCTGGTCTTGAACACCTGGCCTCAAGTGATCCTCCTGCTTTGGCCTCCCAGAATGCTGGGATTGGAGATGTGAGCCACCTTGCCCAGCCAAAAATTTTAATTGTGGTAAAAAACACCTAACATAAAATTTACCACTTTAGCCTTTTTAAAGTGTATAGTTCAGTAGTGTTACGTATATTCACGTTATTGTGCAACAAGCCTCCAAAATGTATTCATTTTGCAAAACTGAAATTCCATACTCATTAAGTAACAATTTCTCATTTATTTCTCCCATAAGTACCTCATATAAGTGAGACCATACAGTATTTGACCTTTCGTGACTAGCTTATTTCACTTAGCATGATGTCTTCAAGCTTCATCCACGTTATAGCATGTGTCAGAATGTCTTCCTTTTGAAGGCTGAATAATATGCCGTTGTGTGTGTGCACCACATTTTTGTTTATCCAGTCATCTATTGATGAGTCTTGCGGTGCCTCCACCTTTTGACTATTATAAATGATGCTACTATGAACATGGCTGTGCAGATAATCTCTTCAAGACCCTGCCTTTAATTCTTTTGGGTATATACCAAGAAGTGGGATTGCAGGATCATACGGTATATCTCTTTTTAATTTTTTGAGGATCCACTGCACTGTTTTCCATAGTCTTTGCACCATTTCACATTCCCACCAACAGTACACAATATCTTACATCCTTTTTGCCCACTGTTAATTTTATGTCAGAGCATCCCCTGATACTGGGTCCTCGGCTCCTATTTCTTAGCTCTTGTCTGAGTTTGTAGAGCCTCAGTCAGAGAGTGCCTAGGTCGTTGCACTCATTGGACAGGTGGGAAGCTGAGGTATCCAGAGGGAAAATGACCTGTCCAAGACCCTGGGCCTGATCCTCACAGACCTTGTCACTTTACTCTTTAACCCCTACATGGCTAGTTTGGGGCTCTGGCGCTCCCTGTCGGGCCCTGTCCCATGGCCTGCACAGCTCCTCCGCGTCTCACCAGCGCTGTGGTTTCCGCCCCAGCAGGTCCAACGGGCGCTCCTCCAAGCAGAGCCTTGGAGGGCAAGGCCGGCACCATTACCTCCAACGAGTGGAGCTCTCCTAACTCCCCCGAGGGGAGCAACGGCTCTGGGGGCAGTCAGGCACTGGACAAGCCCATCGACAATGATGCAGAGGGCGTGTGGAGCCCAGACATTGAGCAGAGCTTCCAGGAGGCCCTGGCCATCTACCCACCCTGTGGCCGGCGCAAGATCATCCTGTCGGACGAAGGCAAGATGTATGGTAAGAGTGTCCGGGCTTGGCAGCAGGACCCTGAACTCTCGGTCCAGTCCTAGAAATAAAGTGGAGGCAAGGAAATAAAGCTAGAATGGTAACCTTGGGGCTCCTTCCATGTAATGGAGGGAATGACCTCTTCTCTTGGCTTCTACCAGGTGGACGCTGCCTTCTTCTGTCCTAGGCATCTGATTAGAAGCCTTTGAGTGGATGGAGGGTGGGTCCCCGGGGGTGAGCAGATATGGGGGAGAACTTGGAAAGGGGATATCTCCCCAGAACAGACTGGGAAAATCCTACAGGTGTCCCCCAAGCAAGTGCCTGATCTTCGGGCTGCCCACCTTGGCTGCAAGGGTGTTCAGGAAGGGGCTCATTCCCGCCTCCTTTGCTTTGCTCACTCGTTCATGTGACACACAGATGCCGAGCCCTCGGGCGCCAGGACGGGTTGGGCAGAGCCAGGCCCTGCTCCTTACGTGGTGTGGGGGAAAGCGAGCACACAGGGAACTGCGCCTCGAGGCCGACTGGAGAGCTCCTAGGAGAGACTCGAGCACAGGCTGCTCACCTAGAGAGGTCCCTCCAGCTGACAGTCACCAGAAACAGCTTGATCTTCTTGAATGGCGAAGGGCGTGGAGCACACGGAAACACCGTGTTCAGTGGCGGTTCCGTGGTGCAATGGTTAGCGCTCTGGACTCTGAATCCCCCAGAAACACCGTGTTCAGCGGCCATGTGGGAAGCACCAGGCTGTCGGCATGGGGCTTTGTGGACTTTTGGATGCAAGAGGGGCATCTGGAAAAGTGAGACAAGAACAAACGGAACAGGTGTTGGAAAGCCTGTATTGGGCTTCCATTCCCATCGGAAAGGACCCCAGAACCCCCAGCTCAAAGCAGTAGTCTTGGGGCAGAAGTGAGAGGCAGAGAGGGTCTCTGCAACTGGCTGAGACAGTGACAACAGAAGCCCCTGCCACGGTGCCCAGCAAGATGGCCCTGGCCCAGCTGCCCACCCCTGGGTGGCCTGGTGCCCTCCCCCGCACAGAGGCTTTGCCGAGGTTTAAAGGCCATGGGAGGGGCTCCAGGGGCTGACTGCACTAGTTTCTGGGGGCCACCAGAACAAGTCACCACAAACTGGGCTGCTTAAAGCAACAGAAATGACGATTCTCTCACAGTTGAAGAGGCCGAACATTGGCGGCCAAGGGGCCAGCAGGCTGGCCCTCAGAGCGTCAGGGAGTGGGTCTGCTCCTGGCTCCGGCATTGCTGGCACTCCTGGCGTTGCTCGCTGTGGCCGCATCACCTGGTCTCGGGCTCCGAGCCTGCGGTCAGCTGCAGTCTTGCCTGCACGTGTGTCTGCACGTCGTCTCCTCCTCCCGTAAGGACACCAGCAGTTGGGTTAGGCCACCTGAATCCAGTGTGGCTTCATCTCCACTAATTCGCTGGCAAAGACCCAGTTTCCAGATAGGGCATACTGAGGTTCAGCGCCGCTCAGCTGACCCCACTCTAGTCTCCTGTGTGGCGGGCCGGTGGCCGTGGAGCTCCCACCCCCCATCCTTGGACCCCCCCCTTGCCCTCAAGGCCCCTCCCCATTCTTTTGCTTGTTGGGGAGCAGGGTCCTCTGGAGCTAGGCTAGGGTCTGCTCTTCAGCCTCCTGGCAAAGGCATATCTCTCCTGTCCCCCGTCCCCGGGCTTTGCTCCCTGCTCCAGCCGCAGGGAAGCACCACCGAGGAGGCAGCTGAGGGGCCTGGAGCCCTGGAGGGGCCAGGTGTGGTGTGGGGGTGAGGAAGCGCCTCTGGGAACGAAGGGTCCCACCCTCTCAACTGGGAGCTAGTGTGAAAATGAGGCAGGGCAGGGGCTGTGAGAGGCGGGTGTGGGGCTGGGCTGGAGGGTCCCAGGCGCCTGGCTGGGAAGCTGCCACAGGATGAGTCTGTGCTCTAAAGGGACAGCTGGTCTGGAGGACATTAGGGTGCAAGTGGCGTCCAACAGAGGCAGGAGCCGAGGGGCAGGTGTGTGGGGCCAGGCCCTTGGAGATAGCAGAATGTGGTGGAATCGACCGGTTTCATTCAGTGGCCCTGTGGACCAGCGGCTTCGGCTGCTTACTCTTTTGGTTTTGATTTTGAAGGATTTTTTGTGGTTGAATATATTTATATATATATATAACATCAAATTTACCATTTTAACCATTATATATATATATTTTTTTTTTTTGAGACAGAGCCTCGCTTTGTTGCCCAGGCTAGAGTAAGTGCCGTGGCGTCAGCCTAGCTCACAGCAACCTCCAACTCCTGGGCTCAAGCAATCCTCCTGCCTCAGCCTCCCAAATAGCTGGGACTACAGGCATGCGCCACCATGCCCGGCTAATTTTTTCTATATATATTAGTTGGCCAATTAATTTTTTTCTATTTATCGTAGAGACGGGATCTTGCTCTTGCTCAGGCTGGTTTCGAACTCCTGACCTCAAGCAATCTGCCGCCTCGGCCTCCCAGAGTGCTAGGATTATAGGCGTGAGCCACTGCGCCCGGCCCTATATTTTTTAAGTTTATAATGTAGTGGCATTAAGTATGTTCATGTTGTTATACAACCATCACTGTCATCTATCTCCAGATATTTTTCATCTTCTCAAACTGAAATTTTGTACCCTTTAAACATGAATTCCCGATTCTCTCTGTCCTCCCTGCCCCCAGCCCCTGGCATCCCCTTCTACTTTCTGTCTCTGAGAATTTGACTACTCTGGGTACCACATGTAAGTGGAACCATACAGTAATGTCCTCAAGGTTTATGCATGTTATAGTCCAGGTTATGATTCCCTTCCTTTTTTAAGGCCGAGTAATATTCCATTGCTTGTTTGTTCCACACTTTGCTTATCCATCCATCCATCCATGGACATTTGAGTGGATGCTTAGATTTATTTAGTCGTTAGAGGCAGATATTTCTATCCCCAGTTCACATATGAAGAGACTTTGTCTGCCGTCACCAGAGCACTGTGACGGCTGAGCTGGTGGAAGTGCCGGCCGTGGACTTGGCAGGCTGGGAACTCTCGGGCTGAGCTCTCTTTGGCAGGATGGAAGCCGCCGAGTGGGAAAGCGGGCTGGGACGGTGTTTGACGGTCTCCCGGCCGCGCTGGTGTCCTCGGTGCTGCTCTCCCTCCCTGCTGAGAGACGGGGAGGGCGCAGGGCCGGGAGCCTCCTCATCGCCCCGTGACGCTCCCGCGCTCCCGGTGCTCCTGGACACCCACTGCCTCTTCCGTCCTTTCAGGGATCCCTGCAGGAGGGAGGAAGCATGGTCTCTGCTTGCAGATGCAGACATGGAAGCTCAGAGAAGCCAAGAGCCTCTCAAGTAGGAAGTGGAGAGTGGGCTGGGACCAGTCCTGCCTCCGGGCGCAGTGCTCCGCCATCGCCCGAGGGCCTTGCTCCTCGGCTGCTGCCCAGCCCCGGCTCCAGGTGGGTCAGGCTCTGGGCAGGGGCACTGGAGACTGCAGTGCAGTGTCTGATACCTCACCCAGCCCCCACGGCACCTGTCCTGCGTGAGCCCCATGGGTCCTGCTGGGATCCAGACACTGGCTCACCCATCTCTTCTTACCAGTCACGGGAGCTGAGCCAAGGCAGGGCCATGCAGGGAGCTGGTGGAGAGCTCTGCAGAGCTGACCGGCCCAGCTGGGCCATATAGATAGCTCTGAGCTCACCCGGCGTGCGGGGTGGGCCCTTAGGAGACGGAGCAGGAGGGAAAAGCTGCTGAGCTGACTCGGACCTAACTGCGTCCGGCTGCCCTCCTCCTGTCTGCTCGGCTTCCGTCGGGGGTCTGCTCATCCTCTGTGTACCCCAGACCCATCCTGAGACCTAGCTGGCTCGCAGCATCCCCAAGAGCCCTGGTGTTTACTCTCCCCCCACGTCCCTATGTCCGGAGGCCGCCAGGCAAGGGGGCCAGCCCAGCAGGGCCAGGCTAGGCTGAGGGCACGCAGGGAAAAGTGTGTTTAGAGAGTTCTAGACCCGGGGCCTGGCCTTTGCTCTTTGAGGGTAGGGATTAGGCCTGTTCCCACCCCTGGCCACAGCACAGCCAGAGCAGGACACGCTGACCAGCGCCAGGCAGACATGCAGATGACATGCAGAGCAACACAGCAGATTAACACCTGCTATTTCTGAGCTGAGTCGCCCACTCTCGTTGGTCCTGGCCCTCCCCTCCCCTTGAGCACCTCTTACCCTCCTGGGCTGGCTCCCTGGCCTGGGGCGCTAGCTTTCTCCTGCTCACGGCCACTTTCATTTTTGCCCTGTCACTGTGTCACCCTCACCCTGGCACTGCCAACATCGGCCACTCTGACCTCCTTTGGCCAAGCTCGCTGCTGGCCCCTGTGTGCAGGTGGTGGGAGGTGAGGGTGGAGCGATTTCTCCCCTGCCTGCCACCCCGCCTGCTACGCACTTGGCCTCCCCACTCCTCCCAGCTCAGCTGGCCCTGCTGGGCTCTGGGCCTTCCTCTGCATTTGTTCCTTCCTGCCACCACCCCCGGCCCCCGCCTTTCAACTTCCTGGAGGTTGCCCTTGAACTTCCCAAGTCTCTATGGTCTCTTCTCTCCCTCTGTCTCTGTCTCTGCCTCTCCCTCTGCCACTCTCTCTCTCTCTGTTTCTCCTGCCCTGGGTCCCAGGAGAGCTGTCCTGTCAGCAGCCAGTCGTTCTCATTCGGTGCCCCCAACTCCCGGCCAGGCCAGGGCCAAGGGCTGTGTGGCCTCTGCTTTCTACAGCGTCACGGTCTACAGGGAGAGGCAGGAGAAACACCTCTGGAAGGTCAGCCGCCCAGGCAGCACTGATGCCGGCCACAGCAGCTAAACCAGAGGGCCAGGCTGTCTTGAAAGTTTCCTTAAAGGAAGTAGAGCTGAGCTGGGTAGAGGGTGCGGGTGCTTGTCTCAGTCTGCTTGCTGTTGCTGAGAACAGAATACCTGAAACTTGGTGATTGATAAAGAAGAAGAATTTGTTTCTTACCATTGTGTAGGCTGAGAAGTCCAAGGTCAAGGAGCTGCATCTGGTGAGGGCCTTGC